ATTATATATGCAATCAATCTAAATTGTATATATAAAATAATTTTTAGTCTTTATTTTTAAATCATTAAATATTTATTTGTATTTATTTAATGTTTGTTAAATTGATTTCTAGAATAAATATTAGTCGGTCCCCATTAGAGTTACTTCAAGGTAAAATTAAATTATATTATTATATTAGTATTTGCTTTTAGTATGTTAGTATATTAGTATTAATATATGCTTTGTCTTAGATTGTGAAAAAAACTGTATATGATGGAAAGTTTTTACTGATATTGTTGAAACTTTTAGGCCTTTCTTTCAAAAGGAAGCGACTCACTGGAGTCCTGGAAGTAGACGTCTTTGCCGTTGTAGGCGTTTCGCAGCTTGTTGGTCATCACTCGCAGGGTCATGATCTGCTGTCTGATGAAGGTGTCTGGTCTTGTGATGTCCACTTCCACCTCTGGGTTATTGAGCTGGTTCGTGAGACCGTCTTTTACAACTTCAGGGAAATATCTGGAAATCAACAGGCAAACATTTGGTGGGAATAATTTATTCGCAGGCTTTCACAGTCGGGGTTCAACAAACACATAAATGATTAACTTTTTTCAATCTGTGATTTGATATAATCTATATTTGATTACAAATCTTAAAAAGCGAAGTCGAGGGACTCGCAAATGCGAATGCATTTATGTACAAAAATGTAATAAATTAAACAAAAATGGTAATTTATGCAAACACATTCATGCAAAAACATTTATGTGCCCCGAAAAGCATTTTCTCCGGCCAATTATAATAAAACCTTAATATTTTGCTGCATTTGTAATGGTCACATGACGAAGTGTTGCTGTTGTTGACTCGAGCATGACCCCATCAAGAGCGACTTCAGCAGGATCGGCACCTCTCACATTCACATCAACATGCCCTGCAGCTCTACATTGTGTGCAGAATGACTTCATTTGCAATATTCACTTGCACCGCGTGCATCAGACGTCAGCGTTTTTGCGTCGCCCTGCGCTGTACAACACAAGAATAATGTTAGGCTGCACGCTGCACTTTCACCTATAGTGTGAAAATCACCTTGGTTGAAAAGGTGCAACCATTACTAGATCTGCATTGTGTGCAGAATGACTTCATTTGCAATATTCACTTGCACCGCATGCATCAGACGTCAGCGTTTTTGCGTCGCCCTGCGCTGTACAACACAAGAATAATGTCAGGCTGCACGCTGCACTTTCACCTATAGTGTGAAAATCACCTTGGTTGAAAAGGTGCAAACATTACTAGATCTGCATTTCTTGAAAAAAATGTTGTGCTTGCAAGGCAGCTAATAAAAGTGTTAAAGTTTCAGTTAAGGAAATCAGAAACATTTTTAATAAGTTAGCATGTATTATAAAACAGATAGTTATGGTACATGCAGATTATCTAAAAAAAAAGGGCATTAAGGGGTAATCTGATATAATAATAAAAAAAAAGTTATTTATTTTAAAATTTTGCTTAATTGCGCTGCTTATCCATGAAAAGACAAGAAAGAAATATTTTATTTATTTATTTATTTTTTATTTTTATCTCAAGCATTTTCTCAAGCATTTTCCCAAGCATTTTCCGTTAATTAAATAAAATGTAAATAAAATAAAAAAATAAAACACACTTTTTATTTATTTATTTATTTTTATTATCATTTATTTATTTTTTTTTAATCTCAAGTGTTTTTATGGTTCAATAAAATGTAAATAAAATAAAAAATAAAACAAATTTTTCTTAATTGCGCTGCTTATCCATGAAAAGACAAGAAAGAAATATTTTATTTATTTATTTATTTGTTATTTTTATCTCAAGCATTTTCTCAAGCATTTTCCGTTAATTAAATAAAATGTAAATAAAATAAAAAAATAAAACACACTTTTTATTTATTTATTTATTTTTATTATCATTTATTTATTTTTTTTTAATCTCAAGTGTTTTTATGGTTCAATAAAATGTAAATAAAATAAAAAATAAAACACACTTTAGCATATTATATTCTTTTAAGTAGTTGCAAAAAGGCAATAAATATGGAATAAATAAGTATGCAAATTTAGTAAATAAATCATTTTGCAAATTAGATTATTAATGGATCATCATTCTAACAATGAGATTCTCAATCTTTAAATTTATTTACATTTATTTAAATGTAAATGTAAATACATTTATTTGAATTAATTGAATATTGTAAATTCAAGCAACCGCTTTCTAAATAAATAAACAATACAAAGGTAACTGTGATGAAGTTTAACATGAAAAATTACAGTCAAACTTATTTATTTACTATACATTTATTTGAATTTATTGAACATTATAATTCCAAACACTATTCAACCAGTTTCTTTGCAAAATAAAATTAAAAAGGTAACTGTGATGAAGTTTAAAATAAGAAATTATAGTAAAAATTCATTTATTTAAATGTATATAAAAAGGTAACTGTAGTGGTTTAAAATTGGAAACTGTAGTCAAAATTCATTTATTTTAATACATGTATATGAATAGTATTGATTATTTATGAACATTATAAATCCAAACAATATGCAACCAGTTTCTGCCTAAAAAAAAAAAAAAATTACAAAAGTAACCATAATAAAGTTTAATGAGAAATATAGTCAAATGAATTTAGTTGAATTTATTGAATATTATAAATTCAAACAACCAGTTTCTGCCTAAAATGAAATAAAGTGATAAATGTGAATGTGATGAATTTTAAAGCAAGAAATTATAGTCACAATTATCTTTTTGATATTAATTGCATATACCATGTTTGCCTTTGCTAAATTTCTGCCTCTTTATCTGAACCCTGTGAGTCAGTATAAACACATGTTGCAGCATTATGCATGCAACCAACTCTATTGAGATCTAATCTCCTAATAAGCACTTTAGCAAGAGGTAATTGTTTGTGCCTAATTAATATTTCAGGTGGTGCTTTGTGTAAAAATAAATGAAACTTGTTGAATGCTCCCAGGTTGCGGCATCGCAAAAATGTGCTCCTATAAATGCAATCCGTGTGGTTTTTAAGCAGTAATTAGCCAATAATGAGACCGGTGTACTCCGTGGAGACCAGATCTGACAAATATATATATTTAAAAAAAAATTAAAAATCACGTTTTTCAGCTCCACCAAGTCTTATCATTTGTGTTAATCTGTCTTTTAGGTGCTCTAAAAAAACCTCTCTTCACACAGTACGGGTCATTTACATGATGAGGCCGCTTGGAAAGAAAATGAAACACATCTTATATTGCACCATCTGCTGATATTATCACTTGTGGAGGACTGGAAAGCGGACAGGTTTTCTGCCAAGCCGTCTGGATTATTGTCAAAGGCTGGCAGACGGAGTGACAGACATCATGGCGTGTTCACATGAGAACTGAGATGAACTGAAGGGATGAACTGCTGTAAAACCACAGGCCTGTCAATCCATCCAAATCCTTTTATTGCTTTTTATTCCATATATACCTGTCTTAAATGCTGTTTAAGAAACTCTAATGTAACATGCAAACTGATGTCCTTGGGCATTTCATTGTGTCTCATAGTTTTTTCCTAAGTCTTGCAGCATTTGTTAAAAATAATTAATCACGCTAAATGTATGTGTTGCATTGATAGCTTGTCAGTGTACTTGTTCCAAACAAGTCAAGACAAAGAAGAACTTATTAAAAGGCTGTTTTTAAAGACAGTGGCATAGCTGTTTATGGATGCAACATCTCAACTTCACATATTAATATACACAACCATTCAAAGGTTTGGGGTTGGTAAGGTTGATTGATTGATTGATATATGAAATAAGTCTCTTCCTCTTACCAAGTCTAAATTATTTTTAAAATTTTAAATAGCTGTTGTCTTTTTGATTAAAAAAAAAAAAAAAAAAATTTACCCC